CGGCGCTCCTCCCCCTCACGGCGCTCCTCCTCCTCATGGCGCTCCTCCTCCCCATGGACATCAGCCAGTCAAGTGGCTGCTGTGTATATGCTTTAATGGCTGCCTCCCCACAGACTTCCTGAGGGACAGAACTAACCGTTTTGTTGACCACAGTATCTTATTTTTCTGTCTTCGGTAAAACTGAAATAATGCCATGTGTCTCAGGGATTTCTGTGAGGATTAAATGAAATGCTGACAAAGTTATTTGCAAATACTTGAAATGCAAGCATTCAGTAATTATTAGCTGCATTATTATTATTTAATTTTTTAATGTTTATTCTTTTTTTAAAATTTTTTTTATGTTTATTTATTTCTAGGAGAGAGAGAGAGACAGCGTGAGCAGGGAAGGGTCAGAGAGAGAGGGAGTCACAGACTGAAACAGGCTCCAGGCTCTGAGCTGGCAGTCAGCACAGAGCCCGATGCGGGGCTCGAACCCACGAACCGTGAGATCATGACCTAAGCGAAAGTCGGACGCTTAACCGACTAAGCCACCCAGGCGCCCCTAATTTTTTAATGTTTATTCTTGAGCGAGAGGGAGAGAAAGCTCACAAACGGGGAGGGGCAGAGAGAGATGGAGACAGAATCAGGAGCTGGCTCCAGGCTCTGAGCTGTCAGCACAGAGCCCAACACAGGGCTGGAACCCATGAACCGCAGGATCATGACCTGACCCAAAGTCAGAAACCCAACCTACTGAGCCACCCAGGCTCCCCAAAGCTGCCATTATTGTTACTGTTATTATTATTATTGACATGTATAAGGTTCACATAAGTTACGGAGACATTAAGGACTTTAACAACCCAGAGACTGAGCAAGATTTCCACTTTTAGGACTCTGTTACCAAGAAATGAAAACATTCATATACATAAAGATGTATGTATAAGAATATTTATCATCATTGTACCTTTTGAAATAGTAAATCCAGAAATAAGCTTACGATCTGCCAATAAAGAAATTGTCTGGCTTGATCGGTAGAACACACGACTCTTCATCTTGGGGTTGTTAAATTCAAGCCCCATGTTGGGTGTAGAGATTACTTAAACTAAAATCTTTAAAAAATAAAGGAATCGTTACAATAGTATGAAATGTTCCTTATCCATGCTGTGGAATAAATAGCATCTCCTAGAGAAATGGGGTTGATCAATATGTGCTGATTTGTACAGATGTACAGGACATAGTATTAAGCAGATTGTAGAGCAAAAAGCCTAGCAAGTTCCCCTTATGTGTTAATATATGCTTGTGTGTATTTGTATAAACTTAGAAAAACATAGAAGGATGTATGTGAATTAGGCACTGTTCCTTTTGTAGTGGATTGGGAATTTAAAAATTATTAATTTTTAGGGGCACTTGGGTAGCTTAGAGTCAGCTCAGGTCATGATCTCATGGTTTGTGGGTTTGAGCCCTGTGTCCTGCTCTGTGCTGACAGCTTGGAGCCTGGAGCCTGCATCGGATTCCGGGTCTCCCTCTTTTCGCTTCCCCTCCCCTGCTTTCACTCTGTCTCTCTCAAGAATAAATAAACATTAAAAAATTATTAATTTTTAGTTCATACACATTTGCATTGTAACAATGTTTTGCATTTAAAGAACATGAAAGAATTTGAGTTGTGCCGTGTAAGACGAAAGAAGTATGATAATCAGAGCTGAATGGAAAGGGCCCAGGGAGGGAGATGGTGGAAGGTAGCAATGTTTTGGGGTCAGGTTGGGTAAGAAAGCAGAGGGAAAATTTCCTTGGCTGGCATGGAAATTTAACAAAGATAAAGTTAAAATAAAGTATTGGACACTTCTAAGAGTAGCAGCACGGTGTATCATTGTTTTTACCTTCTCTTTTGACTTCATGACAATTTAAATTTGGGGAGCGAGTCTAAGGCTTGGTCGGGCAGGGGAAGGGAATACCAATTCTGTGTTTGGCTTTCCATCCTCCATTGTCTCCATTTGCCCACCTGGATGGAGAAGGTTCCAATTTTCCTGGCTCTCATGTCAGAAGAAGCATCATCTCTGTACTGGGGGCGCGGTGCAGGGAGAAGGCACCAGAGATGTGTGGGGAGCTTGACTCCCAATCTCCTCTCTTCCCCCGGTCCCTCAGATGCACATCACAGACAGCATTGGGCTAGTTTCTTTTTCTGGGGAGTCCACAGCTTTCCTTAAGCCTCTGGATTTTCTCCAGGAACAGAAAAATCTCTGGAAGACTTTGGAAGGGATTGCCATTAGTACTGGGGACCAGGGAGAAGGAAAGTTAGAACTTCATGATCAATGCCTTGGTGAGATGGCATTTGGGGGCTCCCCTGAGCAAGAACAAGACCCATCTTCATATTTCTGGGAAGCCTGTTGTGGTGGCAACAATGGGGTTTCAGAATCGACTGTCATTATGGACGGGTCTACAGAAGCCATCAAGGAATATGACCATGGCCTTGATTTGACCACATCCCAATCATCAAATTACTCTGAATTATATACTTGTATCTCCATTTCTTTACTTTGTGAAAAGATGAGATTTTTGGTCTCTGTGCATCATTTTCTCTTCTATTTTCTAGGATCCTGTAACTGAAGCCACATCTCAGGTGGAGGACAATCCACATGGTAAGAGGATCCTTAAAACTGTTAAGCTCAGGGCTGCCTGGGTGGTTGGTTGGACGTCCGACTCTTGATTTCCACTCAGATCATGATCTTACAGTTTGTGAGTTCGAGCTCTTCATCAAGCTCTGTGGTGACAGTGTGGATCCTGCTTGGGATTATTCCTCTGTCTCTGTCCCTCCCCTCTCATGCTCTGTCTCTCAAAATACACAAATAAATGCAAAATTAAAAATTAAAAAAATGTTAAGTTCATATCTATATTCTTTTGAATACATTATGCATGAAAATGAAGTGGAAAACATTAGAGAAGGAGGAACAAAGATGTGCTCTGGAGGTCTCGCTCTGGTTGGTGTCCCCCAGGAAACTCCGAACAATTGGGAGTAGCCACAGTAGCAGCAAAGGTCATGGACATGGAGTGGGTGTCCCTGGCCTTCTCAGAAATGTTATAAAGCTGGGCTTGTCTTTTGTGACTTCTTTCCTGACTCACCCTTATCTCCCTGGGCCTCCATCCAGGACCATACAATGTTGATTCCTACTGGGAAAGCAGAGATTACCTTCATGGAGAACACTAATTTACAGAACTCAGTGATGGAGCTCGGTACCCATGTAATGATTGCCATGAATGATCCAACCTGCACACTGCACAAGTCAGGATGTAGCGATCTACCTCATGCTGTTTAGTAGATGCAATTTTGTCCCCAGAAAGGGCATACATGCCTAATTCAATCATCCCTTCCTTCCTCCCTCCTTTCCTTTCTTTTTTATTTATTATTCTTTTAAAAAATAAGGCTCTTTTAAAATTTTGAAGTTTATTTTGAGAGAGAGAGTGAGAGAGCACAGAAGGGGCAGAGAAGGAGAGAGAATCCCAAACAGTCTCTGCACAGACACCAAGTGACCATCCACACTCTTAGCGCCCAGGGTGCCTCAGACTCTGAATATGTCCCGTAATGCAGACTCTGCCCTTGGCTCAGCGTGGAGGTCTCGTGTTGACCTGGGATCCAGAGAAGTGGTGGGGCAAGGGCGCGTGTGCGCAGATGGTTTTGTGACACAAGTTTCTACAGTCACGTATTGAGGTAGAATTAATGTAGAGTGAAATGCATAGACCTTAAGGGTAGAGCTCAGGGACGTTTTCTGATCTACACACATGTGACCATCCTCTACATAAAGATCTGGAGCATTCCTGTCACCTTACCTCGGTCCCTGTTGCCTCTCCCCGAAAGGGAGCTGCAATCCGAATTTCTATCCACATAGGTTAATTTTGTCTGTTCTTGAACTTCATGTAGTGGAATCAGATAGCATGTGGCTTCATGTCTAGCTTCTGTCATTGACCGTGTTTGGAAGATCTATGCGTGTTGCATATCAATACCTCACTTATTCCTTCATTCGCTTTGTTTTGTTTTGATTGCTGAGCAGTATAAGATTTTATGAATATACCACCAAGGGGCGTTTTAAACTCAGATTCTCCCTTGTCCTGCATCAGCCCATGGACTTTATGCCCCTGGCACTTACCTTGGTAGCAAAATGAAAGGAAATCTAAGGACCAAGACCAGTCAAGGGCAAGCATACCCAATTTTCCTGTTCCTAGGAGACCTTGGAGCTTGTAACATATCTCCTGATTTATTCACGGCCTCCTTTGTGGCTTTTAGTTGATTGGCTGAGTGACTTGTGACCCAGGACTACAGTCCTGCTGCTCAGAGCATTACTGCCATTCTCTGTAAAATCTGGCAAGGATGTGAAATCATAAAACCTGTCCACATCTGCATATTCGGCCATAGGAAGAGACCTTGAATCTGCTCTTTTGTCCCACAGGCCCAGGGGAGAAGCTGCTTAAGGCCACTGTATGCGAGCCAAGCCCCGCGATGTTGGAACTGAAGATCCTGCTTGTGGGGAAGCATGGAGCTGGAAAAAGTGCCGCCGGGAACAGCCTTCTGGAGAAGCGGGTCTTTGAGACCAAATTCAGCGAAGAGTCAGTGACCCAGAGGTTTGCGTCAGACAGCAGAATCTGGAGAGGGAGGAAAATTTGCATCATTGATACTCCAGACATCTCATCTTCAAAGGACATTCAGGCTGAGCTTCAGGGACACGTCCTTCAAGGCCCCCATGCCTTCCTGCTGGTGACCCCGCTGGGCTCTTTCACCAAGAAGGATGAGGCCGTGCTGGGGACCATCCGAAGCACTTTTGGAGACAAATTCATTAACTACACGATCGTTCTCCTCACCAGGAAGGAAGATCTGGGGGACCAGCATCTAGAGATGTTCTTGAAAAGCAGTAACGAAGCTCTCTACCAGCTCATTAAGAAATGTAAAGGCCGGTACAGCGCCTTCAACTACAGAGTGACAGGGGCGGAGGAGCGGTGCCAGGTAGATGAGCTCCTCCAAAAGGTTGTGGACCTGGTGCATCAGAACGGGGCCGAGCCGTGCGTCTTCAGAGAGGAAGGTGCATACCGTGTCACACACACTTTATATACGCTTTCAACAGCTTGATGTGAAGTGTGCAAGAGCTTTCTGTTTTCTGAAGGGCATAGAGAAGACCAAAGAGACAGGTCCAGGCTCTGGACGAGCTTTTCTCTTTCTCCTCCCTTTCTCAAATGTCCCGAAGGTTATGGGCCTCCCCCTGCATGCTGTCCACACCTTAGATCTTTAATTCTTCTTTCCTGACCCTTATCCCATCTCTCCAAGGGGATGGTGGAGACGTTGAGGGAAGGAGTTGAGCTTTTTCCAATCTCTTGTTTCCCCCATGGTGTATCTGTGGCTTAGGGCTCAGGACTCAGCGCTGGTGATGAGATAGTCCTGGGCCATTGGTTTGCTCTTTTCTTTCTCTTAAGCCTACTCCACCTCTCTCTCTCCCTCTCTTGACTTCTTGGTTCTCTTTTTGTTTAAGGTTATTTATATATTTTGAGAGAGAGAGAAAGTGAAAGAGAGAGGCGCGGGAGAGATAGAGCAAGCAGGGGAGGGGCAGAGAGGGAGAGAGTTGAGAATCCAAAGGAGACTCTGCACCATCAGCATGGAGCCAGATGTAGGGGTCAAGCTTACGAACTGTGAGATCATGACCTAAACTGAAGTTGGTAGCTTAACTGACCGAGCCACCCAGGTGTCTCCAACTGTCCCTTTATTGATGGACTCTCAGGTTATTTCTGGGCTAGCTCTGTGCAAGCACAGAATATTCAGCAATGAATAAGCTACATGAGATCTTTGTCCCATAGAACTCCCCCAAATAATAATGACAATAAAATAATAATAATTATTAAATTAGAGTATTTAATAAAAATTTTAGGGGCGCCTGGGTGGCTTAGTTGGTTAAGCGTCCGACTTTCCGACTTTCGCTTAGGTCATGATCTCGCGGTTTGTGGGTTCGAGCCCCGCGTCGGGCTCTGTGCTGACTGCCAGCTCAGAGCCTGGAGCCTGTTTCAATCTGTGACTTCCTCTCTCTCTGACCCTCCCCTGCTCACGCTGTCTCTCTCTCCTAGAAATAAATAAAACATTTTAAAAAATTTTATTTATTAAACAAATTATTACTTTTATTATTATTTCCATTTTAATAATGATAATAATTGCCATTGACATTATGTGCTGGAAAGATATATAGAAATAATTCAATCATCCCAGCATATAAGTATAATTCTCATTACAAGTATATATTCTTAATAACCCTAAAGTATTTTCCTCATTTCAGCCCTAGGAAGAGGGTGGTATTATTGTTAGTCTCATCTACATATGAGTAAACCTAGCCAGAAAGATGTAAACTAAGGCGGATGTAGGGATTTAAAATTCTCCTGATGCCCAGATGCAGGAATTTACTTGTTGTGGCCCCAAATTTTGCCTCGTGATGGTGAGAAACTAGCACACCACAGGGAGGCATAGGGCAGCTCAAAAGGTTGTAAGTGACTTTTTATGGGATGTAGCCTTGTGTGAGGTGATTTGAGGGAAAGTAGGAGCTTTCCCAAGGCAATGTAACAAGGACGTGGTGTCACTAGCATTTTAGCGGCATCTTTAAATGCCACCTTCATTCCACCTCCCAGAATTGGAGGCTGAGACGCCAAGTGACCATCCACACTCTTAGCGCCCAGGGTGCCTCAGACTCTGAATATGTCCCGTAATGCAGACTCTGCCCTTGGCTCAGCGTGGAGGTCTCGTGTTGACCTGGGATCCAGAGAAGTGGTGGGGCAAGGGCGCGTGTGCGCAGATGGTTTTGTGACACAAGTTTCTACAGTCACGTATTGAGGTAGAATTAATGTAGAGTGAAATGCACAGACCTTAAGGGTAGAGCTCAGGGACGTTTTCTGATCTACACACATGTGACCATCCTCTACATAAAGATCTGGAGCATTCCTGTCACCTTACCTCGGTCCCTGTTGCCTCTCCCCGAAAGGGAGCTGCAATCCGAATTTCTATCCACATAGGTTAATTTTGTCTGTTCTTGAACTTCATGTAGTGGAATCAGATAGCATGTGGCTTCATGTCTAGCTTCTGTCATTGACCGTGTTTGGAAGATCTATGCGTGTTGCATATCAATACCTCACTTATTCCTTCATTCGCTTTGTTTTGTTTTGATTGCTGAGCAGTATAAGATTTTATGAATATACCACCAAGGGGCGTTTTAAACTCAGATTCTCCCTTGTCCTGCATCAGCCCATGGACTTTATGCCCCTGGCACTTACCTTGGTAGCAAAATGAAAGGAAATCTAAGGACCAAGACCAGTCAAGGGCAAGCATACCCAATTTTCCTGTTCCTAGGAGACCTTGGAGCTTGTAACATATCTCCTGATTTATTCACGGCCTCCTTTGTGGCTTTTAGTTGATTGGCTGAGTGACTTGTGACCCAGGACTACAGTCCTGCTGCTCAGAGCATTACTGCCATTCTCTGTAAAATCTGGCAAGGATGTGAAATCATAAAACCTGTCCACATCTGCATATTCGGCCATAGGAAGAGACCTTGAATCTGCTCTTTTGTCCCACAGGCCCAGGGGAGAAGCTGCTTAAGGCCACTGTATGCGAGCCAAGCCCCGCGATGTTGGAACTGAAGATCCTGC